ATCGAGATGGTATCGCCCAGTTGCCAGAAAGATGGCAAAAAGTTGTAGAAAGTGATGGAAAATACTTTCATTGAAATAATTTAAATAAATTTTTTACAATAAATGCTTTTTCTCAGTATTTTTTGGGCGGAAACTAAGTTAAGGTCCTAATATATACTTTTATAAAATTAAGCAATTGTAGTATTACGCCATTAAATGTTCGGCTATTGGGACATTTACCTTAATAACTTATTGTTAATACGTTTTCTCCACGTGTTGGTATTTAAAAAGAAACTCTAATAAATTAATACTTGCTCGTTTGCTGTTATTGATTGAATATTGAAGTTATATTTTAATGAGTAATATATTAATTTATTGTAACTCATTTGGTATGTGCGAGGGACAAGTCTTAAATAATCCAATAAAGATTAACAAACATATAATAAAGCAGATACTTAAAATATGATAAATATAATAAGACAACACGCGTACTTTTATTATTATTTTTCTTTTTTCATTGAAATCAGAAATTTCTGGATAGGATTTGGAAATCCCAAAAAAAAAGAGACAAATATATTGCGCGTCTAAAAGCATCACAAAATAAAAACTCAAATCTAAATTTAACATCACACGATTAAACAGAAATGAAAAAAAGGCGTTGAGAGACTCGAGATAGGACTTGAACTCCAAAGAGTATATTAGGAGAAAAACAAATATCAATACTCGTGCTATAGCAGATTCTAAATAGCGACTCGGGAAGTAACTTCTCGCTCTCTCTTTCTTGAAAATCAAGTGGTAAACCGCTAACCGCAAACTCGTATTCATTCCCATTCATCATTTCTAGCAGTTTCTATTTATTTCTATCACTACCTCGACCTTGTACAGCGAAATCCTCTAGCGGTTTATATTTGAAAAGTGGAGGGGGTATGTAATATTATATATAGGACAACCTATAGAATCGCTACACAGATAATATTTCAATAACAGTTTGCACGGCAACCTTGAAATCGGTCGTTTCGTTAGCTTAACGAGAGTCACGTATTTATAATGAAATAGAATCCTGTGCTATGATTTCGGAATATCGTCTTTTGTTCAATCGTACACACAATCGATTCTTCCGTCGGAATCGTCCAACAATGTCGAAGCAATGATACTTTCCGAGCTGAAAAGCTTTTATAATCTAAATTTTTTAGTCGCGATACATTACTGCTTCCTCAAATTATACGTGGTGTGATTACTTTCGTCTTAATCTAATTTTAATCCCTGTTTAATGATCGAAATATCGTTGTACATTAAAAAGTGTCGACAGAATTCGACTGCGTTAAGCAGTGTCTATAATGAGAACTTAGGCTATAAAATCTAAGCTTTAAGTCTTAAGTTCTAATAAATTGACTAATCACAGTCAAATATGAGGAAAGTAATCGACCGTGATCAGTCAATTTTTTTTACGACATGAGGTTTAAAGCTTAAGTCTTAAGTTCTCATTGTAGACATCGTTTTAAGCAAGGTTCTAAGACGCCATGTGTAATAATCGTGACGTAATTGGCACGTACCTTTGAACCGTAGGACGCCGGGGATGCTGGGTATCGCTCGCGGGCCGTGAGACGTGAACGCAGAGTGTCCTTTTCTTGATCGATTCTTGAGAGCACTTGGAATCACACTGCTGCGTACTAACCCGATTACATTGTCCCGACAATCCGACAACAGTCCGAGCGCGGCGAGAGACACGACGGGGGCGCGCGTTTATTTACATTCCGCGACTTAGCGAGCCGAGCACCGTCAACAACGACGGACAGATCAAACGTGAGTTAGCACGCGCGCGCGATCACGTAGTCGTTACACTCGCTATTATCACGGGCTCCTTGCGAACGTGAAAACAGCACACACTGTCCTCCTCACAATTTCCACCACCGAGCATACATCACTTCGGCGATCGTGAACGCCGTTCTGTTGCGCGTCTCGAACTGATTCGCCCCAAGTGTCGCGTGAACTTAGCCGCGAGAGACCCCTCTTCTTCTTCTTCCTTCTCCTCTTCTTCTTCTCACCAGCGTCGTTCGGACCTCGGTCGAAATTGAGATTGCGCGCCGTACACGACGCGTATCGCCTCCTCGGGGTGGTACGGATGGATGGTCACCGCGCGCTCTCCAGCGTTGTGCTCTCACCCAAGTGTCAAGCGTCGATATGGACCATGAAAACGGACGGATATCGCGCGCCGCGCTGCGTTTCTCGCGGGACTGACTGGGACGGAGGCGACTCTATCCAAAGGGACACTCGCGTGCGAGCGTGGCGACCGACCCGCGAACGATGCCCGCGTCCGCGCGACGTCGAGACGCAAAACGAAAATACCGAGCCGAGTAATACCGAGCGAGAACACCAAGCTGTATCTCGGCGGACGTCCACGCTCACTCTGAAGCTGCTCCGCCGCTCCGCTCGTCCGCGCATCCGCGCCGCGCAACTCGCGCACTCCGTTGGCCCGTCACCCTCCTCGCACCCCCCCCCCCCCCCCCCCCCCC